CTTTCCCAGAGATCATCTTTCTGGTCTAGAAGTCTGCAGAACACACTTTGGGAAATGCTGTTCTAGAAAAGGGCATTAGAAATAGAAACACCAGATTACTGATTTAGTTTTGTAGCTTAAAGGTTTTTAGACTCTTGGCTTCTGGCTTGAATGTTTCCCTGTTATAATTTCAGCGTCTGTGGGTCAACTTGGGGGAAGAAGCGGAGGAGCCCTTTGTAAATTATCCCCCTCGGCTTTCTACAGCTGACATGCACGTTGGTCCGGGGAAGGCTGCACTGGGGGAGCCTCCCCAGATTGCAGGTGTCTCCACCGGGAGATTATGACAGGTCCTCCTGTTCCTTCTCCGTGAAGTTCTCTAGAGTCAGAGGTCCCAAATGCTCAATCCAGATTCAGAAATGCAGCGAAAGAGGGGTCCCTTTCTGAAAGGTAGAGAAGTCCCCAACACTGAGCAGAGCCCTGAAGCACTTACATGTGTTTGTCCCCGATCACATCAGCTAGGGTAGGGTTGACAGTCGGTGCAATTGTTTGCTAAAACCCTTGTGCACTGGCTACCTGAGCAGAGGGGGCCCCTAGGGTAGTCTCTGGCTCTGCCTAATAAGTCCTTTTGCTCATCTCTCTTCTGAAGTGTCCTCCCAATTCTAGCTTTTTATCCCCTCCAAGGTTTATCTGATTCTGATCTCTTGTTATTAGAGCAGTTGGCCTTTGAAATAATGGCTAATCTTGGCCGCAGGTATCTGCTTGGTTCAGGATGAGGGCCAACCCAAATATAACCAGATTCTATCTCTAGGTGGGGCCCATCCAGTTCATTGGATTCTCACTAAAGAGAATGTTCATCTTTGGACCCATCTGCTAACTTCACTCGTTAAGTTATTAAATAGAATTAAAGAGCATCAGATTCACTTTTTCTTGGTTCCATTTGGTTTTAACAGCAATCTCTAAATATATGTTCAGTCTTCTATGTTTGTTGCAAATACCAGAAGATCATTTGTTCACAAATGTTCCAGGGAATATTGGTTTTGAATAAGAATCAAGAGGCTTTCACTGAGAAACTCACTATGAAGTGAAAATATACAGGTTCTTGTCCGTATACAAAATTATTTTGTTTGGGGGTTAGCAGTTGCTGTTTATCTTTTCAGTGTATTGCTACTATAATATAAATGTGTATGTTTTTCCAGTTAAGTCAGCAAGCATCCAAAACTGCTCAGCTCAGTTCTCCCGACTGCGCAGATGGCAACCTAAACGAACTTCACGTTACAGTAACATGCTGCAGCCACCTGCAGTCCCGAGCAGGCCACCTCCAGCCACACCCATATGTTGTGTACCAGTTTTTTGACTTTGCAGACCACGACACAGCCATCATCCCCAGTAGCAATGATCCACAGTTTGATGATCACATGTGTTTCCCAGTGCCAATGACTACGGATTTGGATCGATACCTTAAGTCAGAGTCTCTGAGTTTTTATGTGTTTGATGATAGTGATACCCAAGAGAATATTTACATAGGAAAAGCCAATGTGCCTCTGATCTCATTGGCACATGACAGGTGTATCTCAGGTAAGCCTATTTCTTACTCTGAAATTGTAAACACAAACCTAAATTATACCGTAGTGTTACGGACATGTTCTGTTTCCTAACCATCTCAGATAATCTTAAACTTTGGGCCTATATTTTATTTTTTGAGTTATTTTTCTAGTCGTTGTTGCAGGAATTACATATGCATCTTAACTTATCACAGTATACTTAAAATTAATACTAATAACTCTGTTACAATATTGAAGGTCCCCTCCAATGTAATCTCAGTCCCTCCCCGTCCGTTTGCGCCCGTTGTCATGCACGTGTATACAGTACCTGTTATGATCTCGACAATAAATGTTATAATTATTGATTTAGATAACTTTATGTCCTTTAAAGAAATTACAAGAAGGGAGAACATATGTAATCGTAGACTTTTATATTTACTATGTATTTACCATTTCTGATAGTCTTTACTTCTTCTGCTGTCTGGTGTCACTTCCTTACTCCAGTGTGGCTTTATTGCCCCACTCCTTGGTGCTATTACTGTCATATATTTTTTGTCTTTGTGTCAGCCCAACAATATAATTTTCAGATTATTGTTTTATGCAATTCTCTTTTAAATCAGTTAAGAGAAGAAATTGGGAAAAATATATTTATGCTATCTTTTATAATTACCTATGTAATTACCTTCATTGGTCTCTATTCCTTTGTGTTGATTTGAGTTACTATCTGATGTCACTTCCTTTCAGCCTGAAGAACTTCCTTTAATAAGTCTTATAAGTCAGGTCTGCTGGAAATGAATGCTTTTAATCATTGTTATATGGGAATGTCTTTTTTAAAAAAGTTTTATTACAAATATAGCTAACATACAATAGTATATTAGTTTCAGGGATACACAATAATTATTCAACATTTATATACCTAAAGAAGTGTCACCGTAAGCCCAGCAACCATCTGACACTGTACCACGCTATCACAGTATTATTGACTGTATTTCCTGTGCTGTAGGTATTTGTGTTATACCTGGAAGTGGACCTCTTATTCTCCTTCACCTTCTCCCCCCATCTTTAATTTTTCAGTTGCATTTGAAATTCAGTATTATGTCATATTAATTTCAGGTGTATAGAATAGTGGCTAGCCGTTCGTATAATTTAAGTGATCCCCGTGACTTGTCTAGTACCCACCTGGCACTATACATAGTTATTACCATATTATTGTGAGAATGTCTTTATTTTGCTTTTAATTTTTTGAAGGACCGTCTTGCTAGATACAATATTCTTGATCATTTTTCTTCAAACAGTTTGAGTACATCGGACAACTAACTTCTGGCATCCACTATTTCTGATGAGAAATCAGCTGTTACTCTTATTAAGGCTCCATCATACTTGATGGTGTTATCAAGATTTTATTTTATTTTTTTTAGCTTTCAACAAGTCAACTCTGATGTGTCTATGTACAGTTCCTTTTATGCTTATCCTACTTTGAATTTGTTGAGCTTCTTTATGTGTAGGATACTGTTATGAACCAAATTTAGGGAGTTTTTTGCCATTATCTCTTGAATTATTTTCTGCCGTTTTTTCTTCTTCTTGGACTCATTCCACATATGTTTGTATGTTTAATGGTGTCCCACAGTTCTCTGAGGCTCTGTTCACTTCTCTTCATTTTTCCTCTTCCATTTGGAAAATCTCTACTGATCAGTATTCAAATTCACTGATTCTTTCTTCTGCCAACTGAAATCTCCTGTTAAGCCCTTCTATTGATTTTTTTCATTTCAGCGATTGTATTTTTTCAACTCCAGAATTTCTACTGAGTTCTCGTTTTTATAATTTCTGTTTATTATATCCTCTGTTTTAGAAGTCATTGTCATTACACTTTCCTTTAATTCTTTAAATATGGTTTCTTTTAGTTCTTTGAACATATATATGATAGCTGATCTGAGGTTTTTGGCTTCTAAGTTTAACATCTGGACACCCTCAAAAAATATATATTGATGGCTTTTTTTCCTGTGTATACATCACACTCTCCTGTGTCTCTCTGTCTCTGTCTGTCTGTCTGTCTGTCTGTCTCTCTCTCTCTCTCTCTCTCTCTCTCTCTCTCTCTCTCTCCGCACCTCCCCCCCTTAAAACTGGACATTTAGGATACTATATTTTAGCAAGTCTGGATTCCAACTTCCCCACTCCATGGGGTGATTATTGTTGCTCTTTTTGTTTATTTTGTGGCTTGCCAAGACTAATTCTATAGTCCTTTTCCTTCACTGTAGCCACTGATGTCTCTACTAAGTCTGTTTGTTTTATTCTTGTTTTAATTTTAAGCCTGGGTCAGCCAATGATTGGTCAGGGGTTGTGCTTAAACACCTTGGGCTGGTAGGCTTCCTCTGTTTGCCTATGGTTCAGTGAATGGTTTGGGTAATGCATTCAAAGTCTATAAGTCTCACATTCAGCCAGGGACAAGTAGCTTACCCCAGGGTACTGTTTTTGATCATTTTTGTCTAGTTTTATCATTCCTTTTTATGGAAAGGATTTACTGAGCTCTTCACTCAGCCATTCTGGAAGGCTCACCTGTGCCTATAATAGAACTTTATCACCTACTTATATTCCACCTGCATCCTATTGTTCTCCCTAAAGTCTAGAGTTGTTTTGTTTTTTTTTTCCCCAGACCGCCACTAAAAGACATGTCATATACACTTGAGGACCAAGTAAAGGATACCTCTAAGCAAAATTATCCTTGAAACATAGGTTTGTTTTTTTCAAGTCAGAGATTTTTCATACTGAAAAATTTAGTACAATGATTAAAATTGGTGACTCAATATAGGTATATACAGATATAGGTAGATGATAATTATTCTTACTGCTATATGTTTGGATGGTTTATCTTATGGACATTTTTTGCTATGCTACTATTAATTTGGGATAATTTAACAAATCCCAATAAAATATTTAAAATTATAATAGAATTATATAGTACTACAAAGAGTCCTTTAGATACATAAATTATTTGAAACTTTGAATTTCAATATATGTTTCTATAGAGACAAGTCTTGCAAGAATACACAAATCAAAATGAAAGTTGATATTTGAGCTATAACCTAGATGATGTCTTAGAGGAAGGCTAAGAATTTTGAATAATCTCAGAATTTAATTTCAGTGAATTAAAATATTTATAAGTTAATTTTCTCATGTTTGAATCAGTATTATCTTTGAGGCCTTAACTTCTAAAAGCAGTCTGCTTTAGAGATGAACCAATCATAGATCCTTTTGTCTTTATTTTATTCTGTAAGTCATTTGGGTTGTGGGTAAAAGCCAAAATTACTTTTTTAAGTTGTAGGTAGTTCTCTTTGTTCTTCTTTAATTATTATGGTAGTAAAACTTTACTCTAGCATTAATTAAAGTCATTTTTGTGATTTGACAGGAATATTTGAGTTAACAGACCATAAAAAGCATCCTGCAGGAACCATTCATGTTATACTGAAGTGGAAATTTGCTTACCTTCCGCCAAATGGATCCCTAACAACTGAAGACTTGGGAAATGTCCTACCCAAAGAAGACTCAGAAGTTGTTCTGAGACTGCCTCCAACATCCTCTGTCAGCACGTTAGATGTCGTGAGTAACAGTGACTTTGAATTTCCTGTAAAACCTAGGAAATAGCCACAAAAAGAGAAAAAAAAATGCTGAAGTTTTATCTAAAACGTAAGTTCATCATGCTCAGTTTGACCTATTGGTTTATCTCAGGCACCAAAACCTAAACCCAGACAACGTCTAACACCTGGAGACAAGAAGGTGTCTTTTGTGGATATCGCACCACCTCAGAGTCCTGTAAGTAGTAAACACTCAAAATACGGATTGTTTTTTCCTATAACAAATATTTTAAGTAAATGATATAGGTGTAGTAATTTGGCATTGTGTATAAGTATTAATCATTCTTACTCTTTGATATAAACCTTCCTTTGGCCCCATATTTCTCTCCAGTTATTGCTCAATCTTCTGCCCCCCATTTACCAAAGAAAACAAACAAACAAACAAAACCCACCTATTCAAAAATTGTTTGAAGTTTGTCTCCATTTCCTCATAGAGTTTTTGAACTCAGTCTGGTCAGACTTTATCTTCGCCATATGCAGTAGTCAGATCTCAGGCCTCGTCTTCCTCTCCCCGTAGCGCTGAGCCAGCGGGACACGTGCCCCCCTTCCATGCCTCCTCGTTCCCTCCCACGTTACCAGTGACCCTCTCACTCTCCTGCAGCAGTTCCCTGTCCATCGCTGGTAAAGGGGTTCAGTAAATCATGACCTATCCTCTCAATGCAGTATTTTCTGTTGTCATTAAAAGTGATATTTACCCAAAGTATCAGATCAGAAAATTTTGTTATAGTGTTTTTATGCAACAGGATATATTATATTTACAATATAATTATCACTACGTAACCAAAAAGTGTTTTTATTTGCATTAAAAGTTAATTATAAAGAAATAGAAATCTAACTAGTTATTAACAGATATTATCATTGGGTAATGGGAATGTGGATTTGTATTATTTTGTTTTCTTGTTCATCTTTCACATTTTCTGTATTGGGCATGTTAACTTCTAAAATAGCAAAAATGATAAACTATATTTTAACAATAAACATCAGTTTATGAACCATGGAATAATGGTTGATATAAATTGGTGTTTGATGCAATAAAGAGATAATGTTGGGGGCCAGCCAAGTGGCGCGATGGTTAAGAGCTGGCTTGGGACGCCAGAGGGCCCCGGTTCGGATCCCACATGAGGGCCAGTGACACTGCCCTCTACAGCTAAGATGCTGAACTACAGCTCAACCTGGAGCTGGGCTGCCAGTGAGTCGCAGGCGACGGCATAGGCTGCAGCCCCTGTGGCAGTGGGTTGCCATGGGCTACCGTGTGTAGCCAGCAGCCAGCGTGAGCGGCCAGCAGCCGCAGTGAGCAGCCAGCAGCCTCAGTGAGAGGCCGTCCAGAAGCCGGCAACTGATCTGCCTCGCCCAGGAAGAGCACAATGATGGTGCCAACTTGGGCCAGTGAAGCAACATCCTCCACAACTAGACTGAAGAACAAAAGGACAGCAACTTGTCTGTTCCCCTTCCCCAATTCCCCAGTGCTGTTCCCATCCCCACAATTCCCCAATAAAAGTCTTTAAAAAAAAAACAAAACAAAAGGATAGCAACTTGACTGTTCCCCTTGTCCCAATTCCCCAATAAATATCTTCAAAAAAAAGATGATGTTGGCGACAGAAAGCATGTACCTATTCTAGCATATGCAATTGTTTAATCACATGAGTAATTTATAACTATTCTAGAAATATTGGAAAATAAAAATAAGCCAAAAATTTAAAACAACAAAACTAAATTTCCCCAAATCTAGATATAGAGATAGAATTTTGGTGAATTTCGGATCTATTTTTTTCCCGGGGAAATGTACACACATGTATGTTTGTTTGTGTGCTTGTTTTTTAACAAAACAATATACAACTACATATATTGTTCTATAACTAGCTTTTTTACTCAACACTATATTGTAAACTCTTCAGTATCAGTAAGTACAGATCTACATTATTAGGTTTTTCATGGTTATCTAAAACTCAGGTATTTGGATGTACCATATTTGATTTAACTAATATCCTATTGTTGGACATTTGCATAGTTCTCCCTTTTTTTAAGATTATAAACAATGCTTCAATGAAATACACTTGCAGTTCTTAAATTGTATATATATATATATACACCATGAAGAATATCAATAATTTTACAAAATGCAATTTCATTGTCATATGGGTAGCTACTATATTTGCTCCTAATTTGTGTGTGTGTGTGTGTGTGTGTGTGTGTGTGTGTGTTAGAATGATTTGGGATTTAGTAATAATACAAAATAACAAATGAATGTTTTTACACTGTTTAAGGAGACTTCTGCTCCTCCTGAAAGTGGGAAGGAAATTTCACCAGAAGTGGAACATGCGCCAGAAATAGATACTAATGTGCCAACTCTTTCCCATATTCCCAGGGTGTGTATTTGTATCAAAATTATCTTGAAAAGTTTAATATAGTTCTTAAAGATTTTGTCTTTGTATTGACATGAATCAGGAAATCATAGCATTGATCTTATTTTAGTATGTGACTTCCTTGGAATAGAAAGGTAAAAAATATGACAAGTGTAACAGGTACAATTATGCTGGTATTAGCATAATGTCAAATAGATATGTGAATTAATGTAAAATTCATTCTGAAATTAGTGTAGTTTCCATTTTTAGTTTAAAATTAATTTTCATTTAGCTGCATATTTTCATTCGTACAATTTAAGTAATTATTTTCTAATGAATCATATATATTGCATATCTGTATATTTAAGTCTCAGGTTTACATGCTTTATTATTCAAGTGCTTCAGCAAAAATGCTATAAATGTGATCTAATTGGTGATAAATATATCAGTGTGCTTTCATTTCTTCAGGTTTCTCAAGAAAGCCGTGTGGATAAGGTAAAAGAGAATACTGAGAACATGCAACAAGGAAAAGATGAGGATGTGTCTTTACTATCCGAGGGTCAGCTCGCAGAACGAAGTTTGAGTTCATCTGAAGATGAAACAGAAATAACGGAGGAATTGGAACCAGAAGGTGACTCTTTTTTAAATTAACATTATCTATCTAACTCTTAGCCTTGTTTAATCTGGTAGAGGATGCCCCTTAGATCACCTTCATTTAAGTGGATCTATTCCATGATACCACAGAAATGATGCATGTGGTCCAGTCAGTTGTGACCAGGTAGAATTGTGGCAAATCTGCTTATTTCCACTTGGAGCCACAATAGAACGAAATGTTGTTGCTGACCATGTCCCCAAATTGTGTTATTTAAATGGCTTTATATTTTCTTTGGGTTCAGTACTATCATCTGGATTATTCTAGAGGACTTTTTAAAAGGTAAAACTAAGAACTCGGACAAAAAAGACAACTTATGACATTATTTAATTTACATAAATATTTAGAAAAGGCAAACTAATCTATAGTGACAGCCAGGGTTTAAGTTGCTGCCTGGGAAGACTAATGGGAAGAGATTACAAGACCTAGGGAAACTTTTGGGGGTGATGGGTATGTGCACAGTCTTCATTGTGTGATGATTTCTTGGAATTAATATATATGTCAAATTATCACATTTTGCACTTTAAATGTATGCAGTTTGTTGTATGTCCATTTTACCACAATAAAGCTATAAAACTTTAAAAAGTGTTTTAAATAATAATAATAACTTGATTCTTACACAGTATTATTGCTTAAGCTGTAAGAAAATATCTGTTACCCTGTCTTCTTTTAAAAAAATTATTTTTTAAGTTCATATTAGAACAAGCTGTATTTTCATCCTTTGTTTCTACTAAAACTAAACTTGGAATTTTCAGTCATTTTTTTTTCTAAAATGTAATGTAAATGTAAATATCTTTGCTACTAAAAAAGGTTCAGACATGATCTCATCATATTGCCCTTTTAAGTTTATCCTTACAATGTAAGCTTATTTCTCTCCACTTCACAAGCTACAAATGTAACTGATTTAACAGATTTAAACCACTAAAATTTTGGTTTTTTAACAGATGAAGAGGACAGATCAGCTTCTGACAGTGATGAGTGCATTATTCCAGGTCCCATCTCCAAGAACATCAAGCAGGTCGGTAACTTGGTACCAATCAGAAATGTTCTGAGATAAAGTTGCTTTTCATTCATAGTACATCAGATTCATATATGAACATCTTAAGGCAAAAGTATTTCCGGAAAAAACTAATATATTATCATAATCTTATTCAAGTAATCATCTAGTATAAGAAACTTTTATTTACAGTTTCATTATATAGTGGGCTATAACATGTAAGCATGATTTTTGCTTGCGTGTTAAGAGTACCTTACATTCAGTAGCTTCAATAGGTACTCGCTTAAATCAGTTGAATTCCCTGACTTCTTTCCAGAACCATTGTACAAGGATGTGTTAAATGAAATCTGAACTTTAAAAAATTCAAAATGTGCAATGACATCTAAAATTATAATAGTGTGCAAATGTGAGTTAATAGACCCGTCATATCCAAATATGTCTACCAATAAACTGTTAAAATTATTTCATTTCTGCTACAAAAAAAATTGAACCTTCTTTGAAGGTAATTCATCTCATGTAGGTATATTTTGCTTGTTTTGTAGCACATTGCTGAAAAGTAGTATGTAAATTAAAGCTTTGAAAAGAAAATTTCACTTTAATTTATATGGGAAGTGTACTGCTTACCAGAGCGTTTTTTATTGTAAGGGGATGACAAAGGTTTTATAAAGTAAAGTCAAAAGTTCTACCTTTTTCTATATCTACGTTAACTTTCCTGAAATGATTAATTGTACTCCTGTCTTTAGAATCTCTACTATATTGGTAAGAATTGCAGTACTTCCTTGAACTCTTAAAATTTTTAGCCTCATCTTTGCAGATCAAAAACATAGAACAGAATATTTCAGTTATCTCAGATGTCTCCATAGAGAAAGTCTTTGCTTCTGTGACTGATAAATACAAATGATTGATAAATGCAAACAGGACAGTTCATCTGTCCAAAGTTATATTTTTATTATTACATAATTATTAATTATAGTAACATCATCTAACCTATAGCATCCTGATATATGGAATCTTTATTGTTCAAAATTGATACAGCAGGGAAAGAATTTTGCATATGGTTCCATGAAGACTTTCAATTATAGCATTTAGTTCAATTTAATTTTTTTTTTTGCTTTATCAAATCTGAAATTGTACAATTATTTATCAGACCAATGAATAGACATTCTCTACCCCGTATTAGAAAATTTTGATAATGGGAATCAATTGGAAAATGGGCTCCTTGTGTGGGATTTAGCTTTATAGTCATTTGTATTAGTCAGGGTTTTCCAGAGAAACCAAACCAATAGTATATATAAATATAGAAAGAGATTTATTATAAGGAATTGACTCACGTGATTATGGCGACTGAGCGTTGGCCAGCTGGGTCAGTGGCGTGGTTCCGTCCGAAAGCAGGCAGCCTGGAGATGGGAGAAGAGTCAGTGGTTCGGTGCAAGTCCAAAGGCAGGAAAAGACCACTGTCCCCGCTGAAGGCGGTCAGGCGGGAGGAGTTGCCTCCTTCCCACCCTTTTTGTCTACTCAGGTCTTCAGCTGATTACATGAGGCCCACCCGCAGTAGGGAGGGCAGTCTGCTTTCCTCAGTCTACTGACTCAAATGATCATCTCATCCAGAAACGCGCTCCCAGACACCCCCAGAATAATGTTTGACCAAATGTCTGGGCCCCTTGTGGCCCAGTCAAGTGGACACATAAGTTAACCATCACATCACTTTGTTAAGCACCCTCCATTCATTAAATCCAGAGCAGTAAGCCTGCATGTTTGCATCAGGCTTTTCCCACGTGTCAGCAGATCCTCTGCAGGACTGGGCCTACTGCATCAGGATTTTATATGCCTGTGTGATTTATTTAACCTTTTGAACATAAGAATATGAGAAATGATTATGTTGAATCCGTCCAGGTAGGAAGGGATATACTTATTGAGTCAGTCTCCAAACAGCACTGCTTCCTCCTGTTAGAACCCAGTGATCCCCAGGGACTCCCCATCTGCACTCCTCCCTGAGGAGGTCAGTGCAGTGCCCTGGCCCTGCCGTCAGGGAGCATCCCCATTAACTGGGAAGGCGTGTTCATGAAAAGTTAAACAGTAATTCAGCAGTTAAGTCACAACATAAAACAGTTGTCGGGACACAGTACCAATAGTAATATCAGACTCAGATATTTGAGCTGAAGAGTAGTTGGCTGTTTTCTAGCCCTTCCTCATTTTCCAAATGAGCAAACTAAGATCATGAGAGAGAGAGTGACTTGCTCACAATCATGCCACTAGTTAAGGAAGTTCAGAGGAGGGAGAGATTCGGAGTGATTTTTTTAATAGACTTCATTGACGATACGCCCATGAGCTGACCCACCCACCACCCCTTCCCTTTCTTGGACGCTGCATGCCTGCTTTCTCTCATGTTAAGCTGACTTTCTCTGTTTCACTTGCTTGTTGCCCAAAGGTAGCCACACAAAAATTCCCAGCCCCAAGGAGAAAGATCTGGTTTGCCATGTCCAACCTCTGATTGGGTCCATTTTGATCTGTTGTGCACCCTTGATTCATTCAGTTGTGGCCAGTCACACAGTCAGAAGGAGTGTCCTGCTTTAACTGTGACATCCTAAAGATGGGGATATATGGCAGCAGAGAGAAAATCGTGGGCACTGCTAGTACAGGCAGGGAGGTACGTTTCGTGTGTCAGAAGTCAAGAATACACCAAGTACAGCAGCCTTTCTGTATGACGGGGTACAGGGCCTCAGGTACAACGCAGGGAGCTAAACGCTTTGGATTGTTATCCTCTAGCCACTGGAGAGAGAACGCAATAGTTAATTTTACTTTGCAAACGTTGTGTTCTTCATCTGAAAGTAGCTTGCAAAGTATGGGGAAACGTTACCTAATTATACCACCTTAGACCAGTGCTTCTCAGCTAGGGATGATTTTGTCCCCAAGGGACATTTGGCAATGTCGGGAGACATCTTTGGTTGTCATCCTGGGAGGGACTGCTACTGGCATCTAGTGCGTAGAGATCAGGTTGCTGCTAAATGTGCCACAATGCACAGAACCCACAGCTGAGAGCTCCCCGGCCCCAAACATCAGTGTGCTGAGGTTGGGAAACCGGCATTACACCTGCAGCAGGACCCGGGAGTGCCGGCAACAGCGTCTCGGGGGACGGTGTGCTGCCCTTGGCTAAGGCAGAATAAAGAACTTCGATTTAACAAAGAACTTTAGTGAGAGAAAGAGCTGTTCTTCTAAAATAGTCCACTAATTCTAATGTACACATATCTTTTTCTTTTAGAATAAACCGGGTTTTTTCTTTATTACTTCTGGGACAGTCATTTGTGTTACTTTGCCAAGGCTTAATACAGCCTTTGCTCTCATTCCAACATGTGATTTCATATAATGATTCTAGATGACATCTCAAATGTATGAACGTCATTTAAAGCAAGCCACCGCTCTAAGCGATACTCGATGCCTCAAGTCGCCACTAATCAGCTCCCATGTGCTTTTAAAAAAATCCTACTTTTAGTAGAAGGTACTGCCCAGTATCTTAGGTTAATTGGTGAAATTAATTTTGTTAAATTACATACCAAATATAGTAAAATAATATAATCAGCAAACATAGGAACAGAACTCAAGAGATCATCGTAATGGTGAAATATGAAATATAGCATTTTCTAGGGATTGTAACTTTCTGTGTGCTGCTGTAGCAAGTCATTTAATGAGTCCTGGAACTTTTTGCTTTTAAGATTGCAAAAGTGGGACAAAGAACTCCTGCATGCACTTCAGCCATGATCACCGATTGTTAACATTTAGCTACACTTTTATTTTTTATCATTTCTATTCTCTCTCCCATATATGTGTATTTGCACACATATGTATGTATTTATATATACACATTCTTACATAGTTGTAATGAATTATTTGAGAGTTGCAGGAATCATGCTCCTTAACCCCTAATACTTCAGAATAATAACGTTACACTAATATCTAATCTTCACTAATCTTCAGTTCTCATTAGAATTTTTCTTGTCCCAGAAGTACTGTTTACAACATTTTATTGATCTGGTCCAGGATCCAACCCAGATCACACTCTGCATTTAGTTTTCATGTCTCTTAATACATACTGGTTCGCCAGCCTCTCTTTGTGTTGGTCTTTCATAACATCGGAATTTTTTAAGGATACAGACCACTTATATTGTGGAATACCCTTCAATTTGGAGGGGGTGTGATGTCTCCGCATATTAGACTCAGGTCATTGTAACATCTGGCAGGAATTCGACAGAAGCCGTGCTATGCCCTTCCCAGTGTGTCAGACCAGGAGGCACAGGATGTCGTTTTGTTCCATTACTGATGATGTCAACTTAGGCTGAGGTATTGTGTCATCAAACCTTTTTTAAGCTTAAAAATCTTGGTGGCTCAATAGTTTGCTCTTTTGTCTCCTCCTTAAGAACTGCTTCAGGTAGAAATCTCAGGACAGCGATACACAGCTTTCATCGGAAGGAAGGTATCACTCAGAGGCTGCTATGTGCTAAGCTCATGTGATGTAATGTCTCCTTTAATTCTCACAGCAGCTCTTCCTTTATTAGCATCTACTGTGTGTCACAAAAGCAGCGCTCCCTAGCCTGGAGGAATTCAGTCTGTAGAGAAACAATGGCAACGCATGGCCAACAGCAGAGGGTGGGAAGTACAGGGCACTGTGGAGCCTGTACTTTCGGGGGGCGCCTGACTCAGCAGGAGGGGCCCTCATCAGGGAAGACTTCCCAGAGTCCCTGACGTTTGAACCAAATGCTGGAGATGATTAGGAGTTAGTGAAAGCCAAAGGAACAAAAGCATGAGAATTCGAGAGAATGTGGAGCATGGCTGGGGTTAAGCCTATCGCCCACACGGGGAGCCCCAGGAGAATATTCTGGAAAGCCGGTCATGCCCAGAGCATTGAGGCCTCTGTCTTGGAAGGTTGAAGTCTATCCTGAAATTCTGTGAGCAGCCAATGAGGATTCTCAAGGGGGCGGGGGAAGAAAAATCACTCACTCATTAGACAGACATTTAATGGGCATTTAGTGTGTACCCCACGTGATTTCAGAGACTGGGAAGATAGCAGTGAATAAGAGAGTAATCTTTTGCTCTTATGGAGTTTACACTCTTGAGTCACATTTTAAAAGATCATGCTATCAGTAATGTAAAGAATCGATTAGAGGCACAGAGTCTAGTTACAAAGTAGATAACCCAACTCTGTGGTTATCCAACTTGATCGATTTTTTAAAAACTGCTTCTGCTGTACTGTCACAAAATTGAGACTAGACGTAGTGCCCTAGATAAACATCATTTATGCCAATTACATTATGAATTTGAATTACCCACTACACTATGTAAGCAATTTAAGATCCTTCAGCTTTTTTTCGTATTACCGAATCTGACAGTTCATAGTTATTTCTCAGAAATGTTGATCCTTAAAAGGAATCTAACAGATTTCCCAGGACTCAGACATATTACTTGGTTCTTCCTCTTTTCTTCACGTCTGTGATGTATAATTAATCATAGATTACTTCATTTTGTTTCATTTCATTGACAACATTTATGGGCCTCACTTTGTCAGAATGAAATGCTTGTCCTCTCCTGTCCCTTCCAAAGCGGCATAATTGGTGTTAGCGTCTTTTTTAACAGCTACAGAAAGTTTAGTGGCTGGATTAAATCAAGGCATTAACATAATGTGCTGCCCAATTTGCCCCTATCTCTCTTCGCTTCCAGGACATCAAAGTGCCACAGAGCACCAGTGTAATCAGGCTTTGCTGGCCTGTCAGATGCCGTCAGCCTGACGACTGCTGCGTTTACTGAAAGGCTCCTAGGCATGATAATTAATGGGGGAGGGCCTGAGAAGTGTAAAACTTTGGACATTTCTCTATGAATATTTTATTCATTTTGAATAATCAGAAGTTAACAGGATCAATTTGATGTATAATACATTGATTAAAAGCCTTGTTTTAGGTCCTCAAAATAGACATCAAAACTGAAAATTTGCATTTGTCACGGCATTAAAAAAAAAGTAATCCCTCTTTCACCTTATTTCTAATTTTATCATGTAAGCAACGCAGCTTTCAATTTTCACAACTTGCTACCGACTCACAGATTTCTTAAAGTGTGCCCACAGGTGAGAATGGAAGATCACGGGCTGGATGAGCAATGGGCTCTTTTGTGCACAGCGTAGTTACATCTTTCTCTTTGTCTGTTTCTACTAAGAGCAGTTTGGTAAAAACTGCCATATCCAATTGCATTAACGTGCAATTCCACCTGGACTCCAGGTTCTCTTGAACACTCTGAGCTGACATGTCCAGGTGATCGCAACCGTGGTGTTCAGAACACGTTTGAGAGCTTTGAAAGGCAAAGTGCATAAAGCAACATGCTACTTTGAGAGTTCATGTATTAAAAATTATTAAAT